CAATATTATGTTCATTGGGCAGCTATTGTTCCTTGTTCTGTATTCTTCCTTTAGATTACCAGTGGCAAGTCCTAATGAGACTGGACAAAATCATTACCAACCAAAAAAAGCACACAAAACTTCTCCAATAACTTGCTGGTAAAGAGAGAGTGGTTTCACAAGTCCAGGCACAAGAGGTGGAAGTAGTGGAGAAACCAATAGATACATGGGAAGACCTGGAACAAATCTGTACCAAGCTGTCAGAAAACTCAGGCTAGAGAAAAAAACTGGTAAATCCTATAATGAATAGCTATTTTTTTCATTTATAGTTATTATCATGCATATTAATGGTTTAGGCATATCAAATGTATGCCAAGTTGAAAATGTAATCAAGCATTCATCTAATCAAATGGCGTAACGTAATTTTTTAGGTTGCTGTCCTGAGTGCCTTAGGAGGAAACAATGCTGGGGATTCTGTATGAAGAATATTTAAGAAGTTGGGGACTTTCCGCCTGTTGTCTGGCTTCAACATGAAGGGCAAACATACCAAGACCTGCCTTTGTACAGAATAATTATCAATATATATATATCTGGATATTTCCAGTTTTAATTGATTATTATTTTGGTACAGTAAACATGGTACAAACTACCTGTGTGATTATTATAAAAAAAATTATACATTTTCCATAACTTTGTGAAAATAAGCCCAGTCAGTAGATTGACTGTGCACTGACAACAATAGTATTCAGAAAGGGTCAGTTAGATAACAATGAACAAGACTATTTATAAGATATCAATGACACACAAAGTTTATATTAGGTGATGTACTTTTAATACCTCGTACTTAACCTCATTACCACATTTATAAGTCCTGTTATTTTCTGACATTTATGAATTTTTCAGTGTTATAGAGGTAAAATCCTAGCTTTGTTAAATTTGACAATGTTATTGAAAAGTTCATTATTGCAATTTACAATAGAGGTGTGTAGACAAATTAACCCCAAATGCCAGGATGCTGAGGTTGAGCTGCAGATGGCAGAAACTCTTAAGCATCCACCGAACAAGCGTGGTGGATATGTGTTCCTGGTAAATATATTGACAAATGAAGTGATGCACTCGTATTGGTCACAACTGTTAACTAATACACAAAATAAAATAAGGCAATTAAAATATACAGAATATAATATTGCCAAATTTGAAATGCATTGATGACAAAAGTAAAACAGAGAAAACAATGACATCACTGTTAAGCCATGTACCAACTTTGTCTAAGGTACATATTGCATGAAACAAAATATTCATTTTTGGCATAAACTTAGGCACAACTTTATTTGTATAGCAGGTGTTCATAATGAATAATTTAATCAACATTGTTTTGGCATATAATAATATTATAGTCCTTGGCAGAAAGGTGAAAATACAAATTTCAGATCTTTTGATTTGTGATTTTATTGATAGCTGTAATGGTCTGTTAAATTGAATTGGTATTTTATATTTACAGGCACAAGCTGCTTTGAAATCTCCCAGGACACCCACAACAACACAGTCTGATTCAGATGAACTATATTAAAATTATAGAGATGAAAAAAATAATATATAATTTGTAATGTTATATCAATGATATTGAATAAATGATATTACTTCTACCTTATTTTTGCAAATGAATATATTGAAAGTATTCTGGGTGGAGCTGAAAGATATAAACATGGTACTAAGAAGAGGTAGAAACCAATGGAAGGTAGTTACAATATAGTAGAATGGTAATAGGAATGTACAATGTTGGTATTTTAACATACTAACTTGATTGTATATTGGTAGTTCCATTACATAATATTACCAAGTAGTAACAACGTCTCTGGTAGTCCACACTTTTATATAAAAGTTATATAAGTTAACTACGTAATCACTACCAAACCACTGCATTAACAATACGTATTTATTATGTAAATATGTTTGTTGGGTAACCACTAGGCCATGTCTGACTCCATTTCTCATGCAATACTTCAACTATGTAGCAGATTTTGTGAGATTCTGAAGATATATCCTCCCTAATGTTGCTGGTGGAATGACCAATGATGTGAGTAATGCATGTACTCTGAGAAAGAATATATTGTTGTATTTTGTATATAGTCATTGTACTTGCTCAGTGATGTTCAGGATTTTAGAGCAATTTTCTTAGCTTTTCCTGGGATCTTAGCCAGGTCTATCTTCTGAGTAAGAGCTGGGATCTTAGCCAGGTCCATCTTCTGAGTAAGAGCTGGGATCTTAGCCAGGTCTATCTTCTGAGTAAGAGCTGGAATCTTAGCCAGGTCTATCTTCTCAGTAAGAGCTGGGATATTAGCCAGGTCTATCTTCTGAGTAAGAGCTGGGATATTAGCCAGGTCTATCTTCTGAGTAACAGCTGGGATCTTAGCCAGGTCTATCTTCTGAATAAGAGCTGGGATATTAGCCAGGTCTATCTTCTGAGTAAGAGCTCTAAGTTGTCTGTAAGCATTGTACACACTTCTATCTTTGATTTTGATACAGAGTAATTTTCACTTTGCTCTACTTTGTATTTAGTCTCTTTCTTCAAACTCATTCAAAGTTAGAAGTCGAGATTTAATTCAGTATAACATTTTTTTACATTCCTCCTGCTATTTGTGGTTATTATTCTTATCTATTAGGTTAACCAGTGAACCTGAGAATAGCATGATAACAGTAGTAACAAAAGCTCCTACAAGATGCTTATATCCAATAAATAATGAACAATACCAGCAACAGCTGTATCCTTTCAGAGTGGACAATCTGATCTTAAGCTTACACAACTGTCTTACAGAATAAAAAGTTTCCCATTCTAAGGAAAATCAAGAATAAGAAAGTAAACCCTTTAAAAATTAACACTGCAAGAATATAGAGATGATTATCCAGAGCAGTCCTAAAGTAGCAAGATAATAATAAATTAAGAAATGTAAAACCAACAAAAGAGGAAGAGAAGACCCACTATTGATGGATCTATGAGTGAAAACACTTAAAAAAAGCCAGCTCTTTACAGGCAGTAAGGTCTGCAAAAGAAATATACAAAGCAAAATGGGCTAGAAGGTCATAGGAAAAAAAGATAGCCCACATCATAAATGATAAAAATAATGGCCAATTCAATTTCCAAGCACAAGGAAAATTAAAAAACAAAACTATTATATAGAAAAAGATAGGCTTGAACATGTGTTGAAGAAGAAAACAAAAAGAACCATTCATTATTTAGAAATAGCGTGTAGAAAGAGATGGGGGAGGGATAAAATAGGGAAACATTATAGCTAACAGTAACAATTAACTGGCAGCATAAACACACATACACATACAAAAGAACAACATTACAAAGAATTATGCAAAGACTTTAGATGTAAATGAATGATTTTAGTAGCTGATAACCAAAAACGAATAGCACAAATGCCTTCCAAACAGAAAACTTGCATTGAAGTTGTCTCTGCTACTTAAATTAGTCTTTCTTAGGACTCACTTAAAGATTGTAGCAGCCAAAATTATTAGTTAATTAGTAATTAGAAAAGATAATTATGTATTCTATGGACCATGGAAGTAATTGAATTCTTGTCGCTACAAACTCACCATAAGTATCTACAAAATAATTTATATCTAAATGGGCACTTGGATCTTTTGTGCCCAGAAGCCAATTAAGTTCTATGATACTGAACCCTATACTGGAACAACATGTAGTTAGATGAAGCTACAAAGCCAACTTGCAATAGAGATACAAGAAACAGAGAACAAACATCTGCTTGTTCCACAGATCACACAAATTCTGTGACTCAATATTCATTAGGATTTCTCATTCAAAGTGAAGTTTGTATTCAAAATTTAGACCAATCTTTATATCTTTGCACAGACATGATATTTGTTTTTTATATATTTCAATCCAACAAACCTACACATTTTTGAACAGCAACATAACAGAATCACAGACCAGATGAAATTATGTCCTAGCCCATTTTGTTGAAATAAATTTTGCCATAAAATACATTTTATATCATTAAAACTTACCATAATATATACTATTTATTTTATTATATCTTATTTATAAAACGTATTTCTGTATTGCTTTCAGATATTATTTACAGCTGATTTAAAAAGAACCCCTGTTACTCTCTAATGTCGTGCTGAGGCAAAGTTCACTGTAAGACTCCATTACTTTCACATTACCAGCAAGAGTTTTTTTTATAAAGTGAAAACAACTGCCAAAACAATTACTTCAACAAAATAAACAAACACACAAAAGAATCAATAAAATTTATTGGTTTCTTTAGCATAGCACATAAAAATAACAAAAATAAAACATAATACAGCTAAATTATTTGAAAGTATGCAACAAAAGAAAGAGTTCCCTGAGATAATAACTAAGAGGGTAGAATTTTACATTCTATAAAAGGAATTCTATGGAAAATAAACTGTGAAAAATAAAATAATCTCAGTTTTTCAGAAAAAAAATTGAGAAAACCCTCAAATACACAAGATTCTCAAAGAGTAGATCAATACTAATTAGAAAAGAAAAGGGGGGGGGGAGGAGAATAAGAGACTGCATGTCTAATAAGCCACCACTCCTGTTTATATCACAGAAATATAAACTAAAACCAGAAGCAAATCCACTGGAACCATAGTTAGGCAGGCAAAAGAACAACAAGAAAAGTATATCAAATAACATTAAAAAAAAGTCAAAACTGCTAGCAAACAATGTATATTAACAATAAAAATTTGTAAAATGAAAGAGTTAAAGATTGTGACACAACAGTAGAGATTACTGCATGAGTACTGTATGGGTCTACTGAATCTGTAAACATTTAGAACTAAAAGAGAAAGTTATGTGTGAGACTATCACAAGACCAAATTACACAATGAAAGAAACAGAGGAAAAGTCCTATTTTAGCACTCAGTATAAGTATGTAGCTTTCTTTTCACTTCTAAGTAAATGGTCATATTTGAACAGTAATTTTATCATATACACATGAAACACACAATTTGGTTTTAAAACTTACAGTTTTCTGTCTACGTCGATCACGTGCTGACCTTCCTGCAGCAGAAGGGGTGTTTAGATCATTAGCTTTCAAGTTTACAATATCTTCTTCATTGAGTGATACTCCAGCCTGTCTAACAGCCAACACAACTGTGTGACACCCACCACAGGCAACCTGTATATTTAATAAATTTCAATGCTACAATATATATTGTTCTGGCATTGCAATGAAAGGTACAGTATGAACTAAATTCAAATTGCCTAAATGCATAACTGATAAA